CAACGGACTAAATATTCAAATTTAGAAAATCGCTTTTATAAATAAACACTGACTTTTTAAAAAAAACGTTACACTCAAAAAATATAAAATGAAATGTAAGTTAAATAATTTAATTTAGGTAAAATAATTAAATTCGTAGATTAGAAGATATTAGATAAAGCTATATTTTCTAATAAAATTAGCTCAAATATGAAACTATAACATTTTAATTATAGAAAATAAATGTTAAGAAAAAAAAGTTATAGGTATACAATATAGATTTTTTGTTTTGATTTTGTTCATGCAGTACCTATGGAAAAGTAAACTAGAATCTTTTAGTCAGTATCGGTCTGATTCATGATTGGGCCCCCGGCGGCCGACATATTAATTTTTTATGCACCTGACGCTTGATACAAACTTTTAAAAACAAATGGAAAAGCCATTAAATTACAATAAAATAATTTAATTTTTAATTAAAAGAAAATAGAAAATAAATCAATTAATTCATAAATTACATAAATTAAATAAATCATAAATAATTGTAAAATTAGTAGTTTTTTTAATTGATTGCTGTAAGAACCTAACATATTATATACATGATTTCATATTTGTTTATAAGTTGAATGATGTCTTATTCAACAAATAGATAAAACAAAGAATCCAGATATTGTTGGCTTATCGGAGATCAGCGAGTTAAGTTTTTAAAATTTAAGGTTTTGAAAATATACTTATTTGGTGTGCACGGAGTTGAAAGAACGCATTTGAATGCTATATGCACAATGTGTTGGATAAACCTTATTAAAATTGTCTTTTTAATTGTCTATAAGCTTCACAAATGTGTAAAAAAAAAATTTGTGAAATAATACATGTATTTATTTGGTAAATTAGTAAGTGAGCCGGTACATTTGTATTTTTCCGGGCCAAGATGACTTCCCAATCAAGTTGAGCTTTTGACTTTTTGTTGAAACTTAATAAAAAAAAAATAACAATATTTGACAGTTAGGTATACTTATATAATATATAATATTATTATCATAGCTTACCAAGCTCAGTGTATACAAACATGCACCTACGACACATACGACCTAAGTATATTTTTTGAGCATAATGACGTTCCAAAATATTTGTTTTTATTTATAAAAACATTTTCCTACATTTTTAAATTTTTACTTCCTTATATATTTGTAAACATAGAGCCTGCCGTATTCGGTTTTGGTTATTTCGGAGATTATATTGCCCATGGCAGGATTACTAGAGAACGTTTGACGTTTAATTTGTGAATATTTGAAATCAGTCAGGAAATAGAAGAACATAGAAACCAACGTCCAAGACACTGGAAACAGTGTAAACTATAATTATAATGATTAATGATCCATTATCCATTATTATAGTTATTATTTAGGTATTACTTATTACATATAATCAATTAAAGTTCTTGGAAGTCGTAAATATGTACACTGGATAAATAACAGTTAAGAACAATTTATGAAAAGAAAAAATAGTAATTCACAAAAACAAAACGACCATTATGAACATAACAATTAAAATAATGACCATAATATAGTTATGTCTTGTTATCATAATTATTATGATAAATAAATTGCTTCCTCTGAATAGATAGATTAGGAACTTGTTTCAAAATTGTCTCATTATGCTTACCTATAAGTTACCTTTAAAATGTAAAGAATTTATCGAATATTTTTCGGTGGTTTATCATCATAAATAACTTAAATTTTTACGTTTGTATTATTATACCTCCCCGATGACCATATTATTATCGTATTGAAATCAAAACAACATTACAAACTATATTAAACAATTAATTAACTTTTGTTACATTTTCTAGTTACAGGCACAGACCATAAGTGGTACAATATATATTATGATGCTTTAACAAGTAAAAAGATACCGATGCTTCAACGGTTTGGGGATCGACAAGATGACCAAGTAACTGCACGATTGGAAGTATACCATGTTCATGTCAAGATTTGACGTGCGGTTGTTGTGCCCAGTTCAACGTACGATTTTTCGATTACAATAAAAAGGTTTATTTAATGATTAATTAACACATTTAATTTTTAATTTATCTACAACGAACACTAAGCGAGGTAGGTAAACCGCCCCGACAAAAATACTTATCGTCATAAGAAATAAAAAAAATTAATTTCCGAGGCCATCATAATATAGGAATGTTCTGCTTGTTTCCAAATACGATGATGGTATATATTATACCATGTACCATTCTACCTGTAGTATAAAGTATAGGTACAGTGTTTAAAAGTGAACAGTTTTCTGCATTTTAAAGCTAGGTACTGCAATTTAAAAACTATACAATATGCACATACACGTGTACAATCATCAATCAGTGTAATAATATGAAAAATGTAATTAAAATAGTTCTAGTTTGGTGTACAAAGCACATGTGTACAAAGCAGGTAGGTTCACGCAGAAAATTATATTTTATGTGCTAGAATATTACACTGTTAAATACTTTTTTTTTGTATAATGGGCTACACAAGTTATGAAATTAAAATAAACAAGTACAAAACATTAAACAAGTCATTGCATAAAACACACTATTGAAGTAGGTACAAATTCGTATACAATATAATTTAAAATTCCCATATTCATACTGCTGAGGCCTGAGAACTTCCATAAATTGTTCACAACTATCTGACATTTTAACTGTATGTGTGTTATACTTGCAACTGTATTTATGGCTTCTTTAATACGACCGAGTATTTCACTTCACTAAAATATAAATAATGATACTACATTTTATCTTTTATTTCCCATGACAAAAAAAAAAAATTGAGGCTTTTCATTTTAGTGGTTTTATAATATTCTAACCACCATAATTATTATTTATTACCACACATTTATTCATTTAAATTTTAATATACTTAGGTTGGTATATCTTATTATTTATAGTCAGCCAGTCTTATATCATGATAAAAATTTATATTAAATTAATACGATTCCTTTTTTTTTTTTGCTTCACTAATTATGATATAAGTCAACTTTTTAGTGTTCCTACTCAACAGTGGCGTATCCAGGGGGGGGGTTGGGGGTTGTAACCCCCCCCCCCCCCGAAAATTGTTAAATTATAACAACGTTATCATTAATAAATCATTTTAAGATAAAATTCCACAAAAATAAATTATAACCCCTCCCGAAAAAAATTCTGGATACGCTACTGCTACTCAATACGAAATATGTAGGTATCAGCTAAAAAAAAAAATACTTAAATCAAGAATAATATTAGTGTATTCAACCAATAAGTATAAATCAAATATGAATAATGTAAAATTTCTATCTACGTTTATATGATCAGATATGTTCTAATAAACAATCAACGATCAAAAGTATTAATGCAATTAAAACCCGATACCTATAATATATAGCCCTAAATGATTTACGAGTAATACTATATACAAACAGCAGTATAGCACTTAGACATTATATTATGTTGTTTAATAATATGTCCCACAAGACAAAACAAAATTACAAACAAAATACTGTAATTTATTGTGTGCTGCCAACGCAAAACAATAACATTCAATTTAAAACACAATGCGTTGCTTGAACTTTGAAGTATTGACACCGTTTATACACTTTAGAGTATAAGTACCTACTACATTATAAAAGGTCGTATTTGAAAATAAATAATAATTATTATGACAGTCAATATTAATCAGTTCACATTCCACAGTCCAACGAATACATTTATTTAATTGACCGTGGTGGAACGTTTAAAGTGTACGTGACATGATTGTCGATAATTATTGCCGGTCATTGACGGTTGACCAAGTTTGACAACTAAAAGAATGGAGAAAGTTTGGTCAACTGTTTTCGAAGAAAATATATTTGTCGACAAGTACACTGGTTTTGTTTTCTTACATTCTGAATAATTCCAATTTATTTGTATATATGTTTTCTTCGATTTAGTCCCACAGTATAAATTTATCATCTAATCGTTTTTATAAACAATATATATAATTTTTTATTTTATTTTATCATTAAAATATGTTAAATAAATCAAATTTTTTATTTATATCATGTATGATAATAAAATATAAATTCTAGATCTAATTTTGTCAATAAAATAAACATAAATTTCTCTCTCTCTCTTTCTCTTTCTCTTTCCTCAGATACAAATAATTAAACATTAAATAAGAATTACTCTCGCAAAGAAAACTTAAACTTCAAGACCAGCATAAAATCTTGTTACCTATCAAAAAATAAAAATAAAAATTGTTCTTAAATAAAGAAATATAGCCACAATTAACGTACATCCATAAATCTAATTTTACATAAGTATCTTTTTATTTTTTTTATACTTGGCGAAACTAAAATTTTAAATGTAATTATAGGTTATTAAAAAAAAAAATCACATTTTCATATTTGTTAGGTTTTGTATTTTGAACTACCAAAATTTCGGTGTTTTCTTGGATAATAATATAAAACTTCAAAAGACCTAAACTTTTTTTAAAAATTTAATTAAAATCGTGTTAAATTTGGAAATTACATCGTAATCTGGTGAAGTCAATGGACAATGAGTAATGACGGGATTTCTCCAAACTCATTACACGTCTGTTGTCGGCAATGGAAGAATAACTGTTTGTTTTTCTTTTATACAATGTTATAACTATTATGAGAGTGAAATATGTATATATAATATATCCTGCAGCAGGGTTTTTGGTAAGATCGTAATTTAAAAAAATAATAAATAAAGGCCAACCTACTGCCGTAGCTGCTCGCAGGCAAACAAGGATACTAATTGAATGTGACAGCGGGATGAAGAAATATCGTCCTTGTAATCTCAGTTTTATTAACTTCGTACATGGTCCCGTACTTAACGTGTAGTAAACCATGGTAAATTTTATGTTTTGCTCCCCAAGATACACGCAAAGCCCGGAATTAATATAACCTAGCGCAGAGTAAATTAGAGACGCCAAAAATCAGATCAATATCAAATACTGTAATACCAACGCACTGGTTTGTTTTTATGAGCAGGATGTATGAATTTCACTTACGATCCTTATGACTTTGCAATCACGGGAAACATGTTTATGGATGACGAGTCAATGTACGAGTACAAGGTTTCCGGTAAGTATATTATTTACCAAAATATGTTAATATTGCATATCTACCTTTAATATAATTATTACTCAAAGACCCAAGTCCCCAAAAGTCCGAGAACACTAGCTAATATAATCAATATAATATGCTCAAAATGCTCTTTGTCATGATAATTGTACCTTTCAACAACAGTTCCAATAATTTGTATTAAAATTCAAAGCTTCCGATTGTCAAATTTAATACTGAATACAGACATACGGGAGGAGTGAAAATTAATATAACTTTGACTAGGAACAAACAAACATTAGAGCTTCAGCTTGAAAACTGAATTGACGTACCTACATATTCGTTAAACTTCAACAATATAAACATTCAAACAACTTGAACTCAAACTAAACTGCATTATACATTTGGAACAAAGTATTCCACCTACACAATCGATTCCATAGAGTCTACGGATATTAAAAGGTATACACCAATAAGATTTCAATATTTTTTACCTACCATAATAATATAACATTAAATATTTTTATCTTAATTTTCTTCTTTTTAGTCTAATATATTAATAATGTTGCTAAGATTTACCAAACATGAATGTTAACTGTAGTAGGTATACATGTAGTATTGAATGTGAGGCCGTTTTAATGGTGCCAGCCTCCGGGAGAAAGGGTGTGATCAAAGACCGTGATTCCCCCAGAGTACCACATTTTTAGGGTAAATTTATTTACTTATACTTCTTCAAGTTTTAATTTGTAATAGCGGTAGAGTGACTATTATTAGTTGATTTTGTTTGAGATAGGCAAGTGACTATGAAAATATAAAGTTATAAAGGTCGATTTTGTAAAATTTTCCCCCAGGGGTCAATTTTCAACATGGCACTAACTAGCGATTTAGTAAAAGTCAAGATTAAGTTATTGATATTATTTTTAGAATGATAAAAGTTTTATTAGTTTTCTAAAAATATTCTCAAATGTATAATTATATATTGATATCACACAAATCTACATTTATTTACTAATACTATAAATGAACAAGTTGATAAAAAAATTTCTATTTCTCTTACGACTTAACTTATTGAGGTCATTTATATCTATATATATAAATGTGAAAATTAAAACCTTTTAGGCATATGTTCTCGGAAACTACTGGACCGATCGTTATGATTTTTTTTTTTAAATTGAAGAGCTCATTGTGGAGAAGGTTTATTTCATTTGATCGATTCTCCAACTTAATAAACAAAGGAGTTATCGATTATTATAAATAATGGTCTGTTACGTTGCAATTACGTGTATACGGCGGCCAGCGGGTTTCCAGCTACTTGAAACCCATCCTTTTTGTCAAAAGGTCAACGATAAGAGTTGTTTTGAGAAGTTTATCGGTAAAAATAATCTCATGCATCGCGCGTACACCAATACTAAATTATATTTTAAACAATAAAATGCACACCGATAATATACACCTTTCACAAAGCTAAGTACAATTAGCCGGTCCATAAAAATAAATAAAATAACCTCAAAAAATATATTAATATATAAATACTAAATACTCCTAAAAATGCGGGATGATCAACTATGACTTTAATACTATTTTAGGTACACTGTATACAAATTTTTTTTCAACTAAAAAGCTGTACTAATATAGGCTACCTATATTTTATCTCCCTCCTCAATGTATCCGCAGTCTACCGCAGGGACATTGCCTACCTGATAATAAACTGTTCGCATTACCATATGAGAAACTCACGCGGGATGGCTAAAAATTAAAATTTAATATGATTTTGCTTCCATACCTATTATGCAGAGCGAATTACACTCAACAGGAATTAATTAATCACAATAATATTTGTCTGTAGATTAGACCTCTGGGAAGAGATAGGCTAATTTAAAAAGGGTTAAAATTGTTTTTTTTAATCGTCGGATTTTAGTACGGTTAGTTTAGGATTTTGTATTAATTGATTTTATTCATCCACCGTAGGTGGAATTAAGTAATAACGACAAACTTGGTATAACTTTGATACTTTAGAGTTAAATTATACACTTACATACAAACAGCACGTACGGGGTCCTCGATCTACCGAAGGGAGATTGCCTACCTGATAATATACTGCTGCTAATCAGAATTTTTATTTCAAGCAACGGAAAAGTTAAGATAAATTTTGAACACCATACACCGAATATCAAATAACGAATTGAACAAAGTTTTAGTACAGAGTTGGTACATTTAACGGGCAACGAAGTGCACGGGATCAGCTAGTATATATATTATGTTTGTTGATCCTAATCAGTGATGAAGTGGAGGGTACACGCGGGTACACGGCGTGTACTCACCTCCCAATTTTAGATTAATGCGTGTACCCTTAACTAAAATCGTGGTTCGAGAGTACACGGGCCATGAAAAATACGTATTAACGTTACCCAATAATACTTAGTCAATAAAATGTATTTAGGAAATATTATTGGGTAATATAATATAATAAATTACAAACAATAATTCAATAATAAAAAAAAGACAAGCGTAATTTGTTTATTATAAATAGTAGATAATATAGTAATACAATTTTCATAGAAAAATATAGAAGTGAAACTCGATCAGCTGATTAGGTTTAAGTTTACCTACCTATAATCTGAACTCTGAAGTCTAAACCTAGGAAACGAGCCCGTTAACCAACATGATGTTACTATGTTAGATCCTTGTTTACCCGTATTCAGAAAAGACTATCGAAAGTTGATTAACCTCACATAGAGATGCTGATGACAACAAGTCAAGAAAAGTTTATAAAACCACTACAGACCCAAACCAAGACCTAAAAAACAAACTATGGGAATTACTTGAATAATATAAAAATATTTTATAATAATAAAAAATAATAATAATATGTTTCATTAATTTGTCAATTATATTTTAAGAAAATTATAGTTGTGCATTTTTTTTAATGGATTATGTGTTTGAAATATATCAATCAAAATTTATGAGGTTCTATTGTATATTATATAGACAAATAGATGAAGTATTGTACGAGTTTCAAATAATGGTGGATGACTGGGGGGTTTGGGGGGCATATCTCCCCAAGTTATTTTTTACAATGATTAAGGCGTGTACCCATGCATTTTTTTAGGACTACATCACTGATCCTAATAATTACGATAATATTTCTGTTTAATATTTTTGTTGCATAAAAACACGTTGTACGGTGTCATATTTTATCGTCCTGATATAAAACGGTAAGGTATTATAATCTCTACCACAAGCCCACTTCTATAACTACAGTGTTTGAATCGGTGGTGATTTGGGGGGGACTGGATAGGTACCTCAATTAAGTTTACAGATGTTGTGGCCTACCGCTAATATTTTTTTTTTTAAGAGAAACCATGATATGTTCTTCATTTTGAACTTTTTGTCCGTCGTCAAATGCACGAGATACCAGGTACCGCGGTATCTTATGAACCGTTATATTATTATTTCATTAATAATTATAGTGATTTATAAAAAAAAACTATGCGTTCGGCCAGCTGATCTACCGATATGCCTTGGTAATAATACTAATAACCGAGGTTATGATAATAGTTCTATCATTTTATTTATATTTCACTATGAATATATAGGTATAATCCATCTATAATTTCACTCATGAATAAATTAAGGTAGTAGTAAAGTATAGTAATATCTCAATTAATTATTCGTGTATAAATAGACAATCAAAGTGAAGGTATACAGAGGCACTCCTCGCACTATATATTTTAGGAACTTTATTAAATTTTATATTCAAATTAAATTACATAAATTAAAATCAATTAAGATATAATTTAAAAAATATGTTGAATGTAAAGTTAGATGGCCCCTGCGGTTCAGCGAGATAAAAAAAGGTGACGGCCATCCTTTTTTTCAAGCAAACAGAGTCTCTCACTTTCATTTTCCTATTCTAATAGACAGGGAATATTGGCAAAAAAATATGAGTCACGCCTAGTGATTCACACGGATACGGTGTATCACTGTATCATACGTATTACTATTATTTATCTATACGTGTGTACAATATACAAGATATTTACAGTACCACCGAACAACACAATATGAATATTTAATAATTTAATAATAAATTGTGACCGTATTAACTTCAACATTAAAATAAACTTGTTATCATGGATGGGCCGTTATATTATATTATTATAATAATTACTTAAAATGCATTTTATAATTTTTGTATCGAATGCATTTATACGGTATAATATGTATTGTATTATGTGTAGACGTGTAGTTATGCGTCTATAAATTCGTACAGTCGCACATAATTTACCGTTTCGCCGTTGATTGTGTATGACGTATCGAAGTCACATAATACCTATCATAGTATCATTAATAGTTTCGGGTAAAATAATCTATCTAGTAAGCCTATTCCAACTATATCATATTAGAATACAATCATCGTCATCCAATAACATGTAACAATGTTTAATTCCAATTTTGTTGAAACGTGCAGGTATTATAGTAGGGTTAGCTAAACCTCACACAACCTAACCTACGTGAACCTCGGGCCCTGATCTTCCCAATTACTGTATATCTGGTGCACTTTACACGTCTTCACTATCTCATGATATTCGTTTTCCTCGTAGCTAAAAATCCACCGCCGGCATGTCTACGAGTTCCTGTGCCGTACTTACCCTCGATGGACATGTGCATGAAGATGTTCGACATCTACACTCCCGGCAGAAACTTGCACGCGTGCGTCAATTTCGTCACGCGAATCGAACACGCCGAAGTGCTCGTGTTGGAATTCGATTGTTTCGTGATCGGCCGCGACGGCGTGAACATGCACAAGTTCAACACGACCTCGTCCACGACCGCCACTGACGCCGCCACTGCCACAGCTGACGATGAAACTACTACTTCTACAACTACGCCTTCTGCTACAACGACAGTTGTGCAGACATACGACACGACGGCACCCGACCTGGACATCACTGTCACGGAGGTGATCGCGCACTGACTGCGTGGTTAGCAGCATATCCAGACGGGAAAAAACATCAAGACAATAATTATTGTATATTTTTTTGCAATTTATTTGGTTTTATTAATATTATACTCATAATATAACGAAAACACAATCGGCGTAATGCTATATTACGAGCTACAGGAATTAATAATAATCCAAAAAAAAAAAAAAAGCACAAATATAATATTATGTATAATACCTACGACGTACAACACTCGGGACGTAAATAAACATATATTATGTTATATATTATATTTTTTTCACGATATGATTTCATCGAATAATAAATTAATAAATTAAATAATAAGTTATGTAGTATAAAATTATAATATTATGTACAACTTAACGGGAAATGAAACGTGTGAAATTCACGCCATTCGTGAGCAGCGGTCTCTACACTTTCTTCATGAAATGTATCGTTGACTCGTCGTCGTCCGACGAGGACAGCCTCATCCTCCGGTGGGTCCTGCCCCGCCTGTCGTTGGGCACGATGGCCACGGGCATCTGCATGTGCATGTGCTGCTTGAAACGCCTGCTGAAGCTGTCTTCGTCGTCGTCATCGTCGTCGTCGTCGTCGTAGTCCTTTGCCGCCGGCACGCTGCCGACCGTCGTGGCCGCGGCCGCTGACACTGCGGCCACCTCGGTGGTCGCTAGTCTATCGGCGGATTTCGTCGTGGCCACCGTCGAGTTCTTGTCTGAATCCGACATGCCCACGGCGCTAGCGGCCGTCTCGATGATGTCCGACACGATGTCGCCGTCGTCCTCGTCCTCGTCCTCGTCGTCGTCGTCCTCGTAGTCCTTGTTCTTGTTCGTCACCGGCGAGGGTACGGTCTCTACGCGGTCGGTCGGGTTGTCGTCGAGCGGCGTGACGGCAGTCGGTCTCACTTCGGCGACGACTTCGGAAGACGACGACACCGGTTCCTGGACGACGCTCACCGTGTACGAGGTGGACGTCACTGATTCGGCGCTCGTTTGTTTCTCGCTTGTCACCTGTTGGCTTGTCAGCTGTTGCGGTGTGGTTATTTTTGATTTTACCGTAACCGCGACGGGTTTCGCCGTCGGCTTGACGCTGGTCTCCGCTTCGTCTTCCTCGGCGCCACCGCCACCGAACAGGCTGTCTAGGAAATCGGTGCTCAGCGCACTGAAACCAGTGTAATCGCCGGTCGATTCCACGTCGTTTTCCGCGTCCTCGTCCACCGCGTCGTCGTCTTCCTCTTCCTCGTCATCGCCGCCTCCGAGACCGTAATCGTCATCGTCGTCGTCGTCATCGTCGTCCTCATCGTCTTCGTCCTCCCCTTGTAATGTCTGCGAAGCTGGCAGTGGTTGAGCTGGTTCCACTTTCATTCCTTGTGGCCCAAATCGGAAACACGACACCCTCAATGCGGCTTCGACGTCGTCCAGAGCTCTAAGCTCAAGCCCCAAACACGCTTTGAACTGATCACCGTCCCTCGAGATACCATAAACCCGACCGCAGAATTTGGATATACCACCGGGGAGAGACATACACACGGGTTTTGGTTTCTTCCCGGATATGGTCGTGTTTCGTAAGACCTTGTCCCCAAAGCTCATCGTCACCATCATCTGATCACCTTTCAAATATTTCAACGATGCGCAACCTATTACGTAAACATAGAATGACGCATTTAGTTTAAAATACATTTATTCTTTCATACAGTATAATAATACGGTTTTGGTAGAGTTTATCTTCAATTTGGATTCATATTGAAATATGAAAGAAAAAAATAAATATTTATATATAATATAGTATGATAAACTTTATGTGAGATTAATATAATATTTACTTAGAATAATTACCAAATGTGTGCTCATGATATTTTATTTGTAGTTATCCGATTTATAGTTTTAAATCTATTAAACATGAACAGTTTAAAATCATATTTTGAAACATTTTAGTTTTGTTAACATTTGATAACGCGCGTGGGGTAAATATTTACCCTCGTGCTATAAACTATTTTATGAATTATCCACGTTCAATTTAGTCATACTATCTTTGAGTCAATATCGTACAATCACAAAAATATCAATTTTAGTGTTTTATTTGAATTCCGCAAAAAATATGCGGAATTTTTTAATTTAATAATGGCTTAAAAAAAATTTAATTTATAATATAATAAATAACACTTAGTGTCTTAGTATACCTAGGTATTAATAAAATTCAATCAAATAAATTATTTCTTACTTAAACGAAAAAAAATTAACACGCCCTCAGGACCATGTTTTCTGATACTAAGTAACTATACTATAGTTTTGATAAGACACTAGAGGTTAACCGTCATGAATTACTTATTTTTAAATCTATTTACCTGGTCCTTTAATGGGAACTACCGGCAATGAAAAATCTCTGCAACAATTACACATAAGATTGGAACAAGCGCAGTATCGGTTGGGAGGAGCTGCTTGTGGAGTAGCTTGTCTAGCTCGACCCATTGCTCTCAAATGATCTTTAACGTTATTCAGTCCAGTATTCCACACATCTTTATTTTCCGGAACTAAAAAAAAAAATAAACAAATTCATAATACGTTGTGATGGATAAATTTACAATGTCCGAAACTTACCTACTCTACCGTAGGCCGCGAAAGCTATGATCAAAAAGATCAACAGCAATTCGAATACGACTGATAGTCGCATTTTTATATAAATCGCTGACCAATTTAAAAAAACTGTAACAAAACAAAAAAAGGTTAGTATATATCGTGTAACGCATAGGTGTAAAATCCAAATGTCTAACTTTCTTTTGACTAAATAACAACAGTCGGTTAGAAAATGGTGAAAGGTTCATGTGTATCATCAGAATTCCGAACTGACCTTGTCCTTAAAAAGAGAAATTCTCTTTCCGTCACCCAGAACGAGTTTTTCACCTCAGTATTATACCGTAAAAATACATTTTAATAATAGTCATTATTATCAATAATCATTTAACTATGCGTGTAATTTCAATACCATTGTATAGATTAGTTTTACACTCAACGGAGAAATTTGCATAGAACAATATTTTAGAAAATATGTATTTTGTAGAAGAAAACTAATTAGTTATGGATTTACATTTTATACTAAATTTGATTCAAAAATATGTCGTTCAAAAAACAGCTAACATTTATTCTTACATAAAAAACCGGAAATTGTATAATTTAATAATTAATGATATAATAAAGCATGCATTTTATTGAATTCGATTTTTTCCAACTGTACATTAAAATAAGAATAATTTTTCTGTTATTCTATAACGGCTCAGATAACTTTATCATTCGCTGGTAGTAATGATCGAAAAACCTTTTATGATTTTGTTTGTGCCATAACTAGTTAATAGGTCTATGGTTTGTGCCCGCCCTTTATAAAACAACTTTTGATTCTGTACTATAATAAATATATTAAACATTAATCTTTTGTTTTTTTAATTATTATCAATATAAAAATATACAAAACTATTTTATTTATGTTTTTTTATTCTATAAATTGAATAAAAACTATTAAGTATTAATAAGCAAATATGACTGTTCGTTTAATAAATACAAATAGCTGGTATTAAAATGTTTGTGTTAAATTAAAAAATTAAAAATACAACCAAACTTTAGAGATAATAGTTTTTTAGTTGTATACTTGTATACAATGCATATTACATATTATAGAATGTAATATTAAAAAATATGGAAATCTTATTAACTATAGTTCTAAAAGGTATGAATAAGTGTTGATATAATTAAAGTTAAATAGATAAATTAAGTCAAGAATAAAATTTAAACTTAAAACTTTTAAACAAAGCATGAATATTTTCAATTGTCAATATCTATACTAGAGGTATACATTTATTTGTTCTTTATATTGTTAAGGTAAGTGTTATCTCTTGTAGATTTAAGACAGTAGTAAACAAATATTTTAACTTCAATATTATTGCATAGGTACCTACATACTTAGAATGTATTAGATACTAAGTTAGTTTAGTATCCAATACATTCGAACAGAATCCGCTCTATAAGATTTAAAAATCAAATCAAATACATAATCTGATACCTATCGGCTATAGCTATAATATATTGGTGTGTTAGAATATGATGCATTATTTCAAAATGTAAAAGTGTTATTTTCTTTTCAACTAACATAGTCATCCTGTCTTCTTGAAAGCATTGACTGATTACTATAATATCTAACGTTATTTTATTTAAAATGTGTACAATGTCAAAAAAACTTACAATAACTCTATTCAGTAACCTTACTATGTCACGTCAATAGACGTTCACAAACATAAAATATCTAAAATATATCGAGACCCTTGGTTTTCTTTTCAAAAAAAATAAAAAAACACAAAAAAGAAACCCAAGATTATCTAAAAGGCACTCCCCGTAAAATTATGAATCGCGTTGAACTTTCTAAAGCCCACTCTCGCCCGGTGGTCGCTCACTCTCATTTTACGAAAACCCGCTCGTTTCCTGGAGGCGTAAAGCCCGAAGTTACTTGCGAAGTCAAAATATAAATAAAAAAAAAAAATAAAATAAATATTCTAATAGTAATAATAATAAATAATAATAATAATAAAAGAATAAAAAAAAACACGTACCTTTGCTACTGTATTCCGGCGAAGAAACACGTCTAGTAAGGTACACGCTGGATGAAAAACCGCCTTGAACTCGTCTCTCGTGGTAGGAACTAAACTGTGACGGGTCCGGTGGAATTACCACGGCCGCCGTTCTTGTTCCGGGCTAACAACCGGGTCAGGTATGTGTGTCAGCGCCGAGACGAGATAGTGTTCCCCACTAAAAAACCCACTCTCGTTCCGGGACGATTTTCCTTTCGCGCGCGTATCACACTGTACGCGCGACCTCACCGGTGACCGTTTTACGTGACGCCTGCGTGCTAGACCCTTTCGGGATAATATGATGAGTAAACGGAAGAAAAAAAATTCCGAGCGATGCACAAAAAACGGAAAATACTGTTTTATTACGGACAACCGGTAGTCGCGGATATTTCTATTTCCTATGCCGACTATCCCCCCTCCATCTAACCACAATATAAGCACATGACCACACTCGAATTATTATCTATAGAGTAACCGACATCCACATATTATAGTAATAAAGGGATCAGGGCTGGATTGGTATGTATCGGCCCATCGAGATATTCACTTTTACGAGGCAAATTTAAATATTAACTGTCCCAAAATTAGGTCTAAAATTATTACGAGCTGACCGGTGACCAATCGTATTTTAAACATGAATTTTTTTTCTATCACACTCACACAACCGGTCCAAACTTTAAGCGGCCACCGAGATTTTCACGGTAGCTCGCCTAATCAATCCGGCCCTGAAAGGGGTAGATGCGGACGTATCATCTATTTATTAAATGAAAAACTGAGCGACCGAGTTTGCACGGCGTAGCAATGAACCTCTACACAAGCGTTCAAGTCTATATCGTGTCTGCAGTGGTATCGTAATGTGTAAATAACGTTTACCGTAGCGTTTAGGTTATAGTGCTACATGGGTAGATTTTAGATTGAATTTTAAGAGGGGGGGGGGGTATAAAATCTTAGTACTCAAAATTACCCAATTAATAACATTATTATTGTTATTTTAATTTTGAGAACTCTGTATATTTTTGGAGTGCTGAGTCCTCCAACTCCCGCCACACGAGTATTACCATTGATTATATAATCAATGGTATTATCTATGAACTTATTATACGTATAAGCGGTGTAAACGTAATGTCATATAAATTAATTGATTACTTATTAGTATCATTGTCGTACTCTTTGGGCTTTAGCACTTTTTTTAAATGACAAATATATGACGACATTTCAAAAATAAAATTTTTATAAAAGAAAGAAGTATGTAGGAACGATCGATATTTAAGTCTTAATTATGTGACAAGGAATCATGAAATTTACATAATATCCTTTCCAATAAACACGCTTAGTCTTCATAAAATAATATTTTTATTTCACAAAATGTTGAAAACCAAATATTTTCTAATAAGAAACGGTACAATAAAATAAAAATAATAATAATCAATAACAATATAACATGGTAATAGTAAATATTTTTAAAGCAGCTGGGTATGAAAATGTATATTTATGCCTTATGGTAATTTATATTTTTGGGGAGCACATTGATTTATCAGCTGCAGCATATAATATGAGCCTATAGTCTATTCAGAATAAGATCATACCAGATTTACCTAGCAAAACCAGTTTTTACCATGGCCGCCTGCAGGTATGTTCTTAATCTGAATATAGTATAGCTGCTACCAAAGAATGTGCACACCTATATTCAGAGGCGTACACGCGGGGTGGTCGAACCCCCTCCCCCATGGTATTATTTATACTATATGTATATAAGTATATTATATAGTATTTATATATAGACGTATAAAAATAAATAAAATTTAAAAAATGTTTTGATATATATGTATATAATGCATAATAATATCAGGTATACGTATAATTTTTTTTTATATAACCCCTCCCATCGAAAATATCTGTATACCCCACTGGGCCTGTGGCTATGATATATTATTATATAGATACATACCTAACGTCATTATAACAGGCGTATACTACTGATCTTGTCATGGCTATATAATAATATGTAAATATACCTATACATAATACATATTATAATGTTAATACACCATTCAAGTACACGGGGAAAGTCGAGGTGGTAATATACACCTCTGGCCCGGGTACGTAGAAAGCGAGGCGGGCGTAGCCGCGCGGGCGTCCGCGAGAAAGCGAAATTTTTGGTCGATGCACTCGCTCCGGACGAGTGTAATACGTACGTCCATTGTTGTTTTTGTCGCCGCCGCCGCTGCAACCGCCGTCGCGTGCACGGAAGACCTGTCGCGGTCGTCTCGTACCTGAAAAGAAAGTGGTAAACCGGTGGGGGGAAGAAATAGTGGGTGACCCGTTGACCCGCTGCGGGTATAGTATCGTTTAGCGACCTCCGCCGCAGACAGAACGGGATCGACTGCGTGTTGGACGTGTTTTTTTTTCGTATCGTTGTTTTTGTTGTTGTTATTATTATTGTTGTTGTTGTTATTGTTGTGCTCGTTGTTGGTGTGTATTCACATCATAATCGTCACCGTACTGTCATCATATTATCGTCGTCGTCGTGCCGTCGTCGTGTGAATAATAACGTAGTCATACCAAACGTCGTCGTATACGCACGAGTCGTGATGGAACACCGTCGTCATCCAGCTAGTACGTGGTGGTGCGCCTTGGCCGCGATGGCGTGCACCGTAGCAGCGTGTTCGGGCGCCAACGTACCGCCGTCGTCTACCGTTACGGGTGAGTGAGCGCGAGGCGAAAACAAAATGTTGAGCGTTTATACGACGTGACTTTGTGCAGACAGAAAGATAGACAGATAGACAGAGAGAGAGACATAGAGAGAGAGAGAGAGAGAGAGAGAGAGAGAAAATCGCACCACGAATAATAATACTAAATATGTCGTCTTCGGTGGTTTTTGTTTTCGTTTGTTTTTGGTCTACCCATTCCAGACCTGCTGTGGACCGGACTGGAAGGCGTCATCCAGCAGAGGAGCGGGCTAAAAGCCGAGGCGAAACAAGTGCCGGAAAAACGGTGCGAGTGCCAAAGCCCGGAGCTCAAGTCGTGCGTGTGCTGCCTGAGGATGAGCCTGCCGTTCCTGGACTTGACCACGTCTCCGGGTGAGTAACAACGAGGCAGTTTGCCCGATATTTTTACCGCCTCGAAAATTGTTTTATTATTATATAGTGCACTACATAATTTTGTGCACCGTTCATAATGTTATGACTGCATTATATAATTATTATAATATAACGACACTATATCGTCTGCAACGACGTCTTTCACGCGATCACAGTTTTTCCGATTTATTATCATTGTTTTTAAGACCACGGTCGTTGTATACGTTTCTTTTTTTTCTCTGCACAGGCTGTGTCAAGTTCAAGTACGTGCCGGACATCGAGTCGATAGCCGTGAACGTGACTTACGGAAAAGGCAACGTCCAGAACGGTGTCATCAAGGGTAAGCCAATATGTCCATCTAATATAATAATCTTATTACATTAGCATATGCCTCCGACATAAATAGTAAAGACACAATTTAACAATAGGTAATAAGGACTAATAAAACTAGTGAAATAAAGCTGAGGCTACTATTAAAATAAAAGATTACAACAGAATAAAATAAAAAACAATAAAAATAAATTTGGTAACCTATGACTCTTCTCTTTTTCTCTCCGATTAGGCTTATTAATAATAATATATTAACATGAAATCGTCAATGTACAATAATCGCATCACGTCCTTCCGTTACGTATAATTGTTATATTATTATAACCTCCTAACCTGTAGCGTCACCCGTCGTACGAAAAAAATCGTATATAATCATTATTTCCATCGTTCCATTGTCATGTCGATTTCCTCGACGGCGGACACACGCCGCCTCGCGTTGGATTCGGCAACAATCCGACGAGCGACAAAAAATCATTGTGTTGTATGACAATGTTATGCATATTGTGCCTTGTGCTAGGCGTGACGATGACGTGTAGTCACTTTTTCCGTGTAGGCTGCATGTCAGAAATCATACTTAGGAGGTACGCACTGTTTACTATTTCAGAAGAGATATGTAGACTACGACATTATAATATACTATTATACTGAAATCCCTATAAACACCGCCGTGACATTGACAATGGCATAACGTGAAATCGAAATCGACGACGGTTGGGTTTATACAATGAGAATACAACGACTACGGTTATTTAAATTACTTTTCAATCTAACGGTTAATTTTTTTTTTATTTATTTATTCTTCAAGAAGATAATGGGCCCCACTGAACATGTTCGTGTGGGGGCCCATGAGTTAATGAACACGAATCATATTTTTTTTCATCTATATATTACATAAGAAACTATTACCTGCTGGTAAGTAGTATTCATAGATACGTTTTGGCGCGGTACATGATCGACATCAAAAACTCCTTAGATTAATATTAATATTAATATTTAATCTTACCGGTGATTACGTTTTACGATAATTATCAGTTATGTCTATAATAGAAATATTACAAGAGCACAATTTACATTTCATCAATACATTTTTTTGAGAGAGAGAGAGAGAGAGAGAGAGTTGAAAATTTTCTTGCACCTATGATAATCGAAAAAGTTCACAATTCCTAGTACACTTAATAAATCGACTTTTTATAGGCACAAATCCCAGTGGGTGGTTAACACACCCCCCCCCCTCCATGAATTATTAATAAATGTTTGTTATAATTTTTTTACATTTTTATTGTAATTATTAATAAATGAAAATGCATTGTGCTATAACATGTTGGCAGTTAAAAATTGTTCACAAGTTATTTTAAATAGTGAAAATCCAAGTTTTATTTAAAGTTGCTATAATATTATTACCAATATCCTGCGAACAAATTTTCTTTGTCATGCTCAGAATAAAAAATAAGACGATTAGTTTATAATGAAAATTATATTATTTTAAATATATGTACAAAAAAAAATACATGCGGACAAAGTTATTAAGATGTGTCTTTTAAAGTATAAAGAAAAAATGTTATTCTGTAAATAATTAGATTACAAGTTCACCCATCCGTTAAGTAAAAATATTTAAGTTGGAGATGGAAATAACATACATGTTCTTAACAGTACTAACTTCTACAAATTAATATATTTTTTAAATTATTATTAAACATTATTATTTATACTAATGTAGACAAACTAAAATGAATTTACTTTTTGTACAAACTCGCAATACTTTAGTTAATTACCTTATATATTATATATTATAATTGATAGTTTAAACATTTATATTGTGATATAAATATTTACACGATGTTTTCTAGTATTTACGTGTTATGAGTTTTATAGTATTATTATTAACAATTATAGTATGTTATAAGCTATAACTTACAACCAACAAACAATTGATATTCTTGAACACCTATCGACTTACAAAAAAATAAAAATCCTTGACTACAGATTTGTAACTAAACTTATTAGTTACTTAAGTGTCTAAATATTAAAATTGTATAGGTGTACTACATTAGGTATTTATAATAGGTGTATCGACGCATCGTGTACAATACTACAATATAATTTTCGTTTCAAACGGATAACAATAATATAGTTTTTAATTTTAATTTTGGAAAATGTTACACGAAATAGAGGTAATATTAAATATTAATGCACCGTGAAAATAATTTTTAATAGGTACGTTCTTTTACTAGGTACCTATATCTAATAGTTGATTTATATTAATGACATTTTTTTTATTTACGTGTTTTTTAAAATATGTCAATTTTCACGAAATAATATCCGGTTAGATTAGATTTGCAATGATTTATAAGATACTCGTATATAATAAAATCAGGATATAGCGGTAAGTACTTTAGTAACGGTCCGTTAAATGTTAAGAAAACAGTTTGGTATCAATATTTTTACACTTTCGAATGCAATTCGTATGCATTTAATCTTGTACCTACTTGATGTATGGATATTATTGCCATTTGAACATCTAATAATGATTATAAAATTAATTCATCATTTAAAATACATAAAAAAAAGTGGTTATGATACCTTAAAAATTAGAGTTATTCTCCCCCTCACCAGGTCGTAGTTGTAGAAGTACTTGTATAATTTGTTAAGAAATTTGAAATATATAATTGTAACGAATGAATTACCTATATTTAAAGATTTAATATGATCCTAAGTTGTTTTGCAATCTGCATTAGGTTATCTATAAATAAAAGGTTACCAATTGAATTTGTAATTTAAACATTTTACTCATAAACTTAACCTAACCTAGTTATTTTTTTAAACCATTCCCCCTGCCCCCATTTTAGGGTCATTAGCTTATATTATATACAAATTTATATAATATGCAATGGCATGATGGCACCTATACCTATTGTTTTAGTTTACTAGTAAGTAGTAGGTACATTTTGAATTCGCGTAATATTCATGATTATAGAATGCATGCGTTTAACATTCTATTAATTTTCTTGATGCTTTTCTTGTTTAATAAAATATTACCATATAGTATAAGTACCTAACCTTTACTCTGTATATTATATCCATAAATAATTTTAAAACATCAACAACGTTCAAAGCTTACGAGTTACTAATTAAATTTTTAATTAAAAATAAAATCAACCAGCTGTATTTGTAGTTTGTATAATACTTAAACTGATTTAATCATTTACAATTTTAATGCAAAATATTAAGCTTTAAATTCTTAAGATTAAGTGTTTATTATAGATATAAAAATTAAAACCTGTTTTATCAATACAATTCAATGGGTTGTTTCAATAATTATTGATGTATAAAAAGTCATAATCATTGACATATAATATGCGCAATAAATGTATTTATTATATTATAATACAATTTATAACATGAAAAAAGTAGTGCTAGGTATCTAAAGTATTTAAGATACATTTTCTCCAAGACTAATCAACCGTGAAAATGAACATATTTCATGTCAACAATAGAAATGTAATTGACCGAAACCTTATAGGTGCTTCTGAAGAAATTGTTCGATCTAGTTCCTAGTACACTATCAACTTTCATTTTTATTTAAGTTATTTTTTTCCTCAGTTGCCATTTATTCATTAATTAATGCCAGTTGGCGATATTGTTTTTGTATTGTGACGATGGGAGTTATATAAAATCCCTCATTTTCACGGCATTTTTTGACCATCGTGGCATAAACTCTCAAATACAATTTTCAAAGAAAGTTATTTTAATAAAATACGTTTTACATGACGTTATGATATATAATACAACTTTTTTCGACATCCGATTATTTTACCAAATATCAATGTACTAATTGACTGCATATACCTACACTACATACCTTCAGAACGTTACATCTCGATTTGTATGTCACAGGAAATAACCCAGAACCCGTGTGCATGGACGTGCTGGTCGGATTCGGTCAACTGTGCGCTCGATTCGTGGGCAATTCGTCTACACCAAAAGACTTTGACGGTTGTCTAAAGTTAGAAGCTACCTTATTAAATGAAGTGCAGAACTCCATTCCCATGGGATGCTTTAAAATGGACCAAAATCGATTAATCTTCAACTCTACGTAAGTATATAATATTATATTATGCCAATAAAACTTCAACAAGTCAAAAATTCATTTTTTCTCTCAATTTATAAAAAATGCGAAAGTGAATTAAAACTGTTTGGCCAAAGATATTATATCGATCAAATAAGTTTTGAGTTTAAAAATAGGTATAGATACATACATTTTTGAACACGTCTGTTAAAAATCAACTATAACTTGTTATATAATTTTTTTTTTAGTACAACTCACATCAAAAATAATTGGGATACCTACTTATATTTGCATAGTTTTTCAAATTAAGCCTAAATAATAGTCGACACAAATACTGAAATACCTACTAGGTACTTAATACAATTATAAGAAATATTAGTATAACTGTATACCTAAGTATAAATACTTTCACAATAATTACATTTTGATTTATTTTATGAATCTATAAAATGAGTTCCTTGAATTAATAATAATTGCCATAGGTACCCACTTAACGCATTTTTTGAATAATTTATTGTAAATAAATAAAAACTATATCATATTTACCTTATTCAAAAATTACAACTTGTATGCTATTTACTATACTAAATATGATATTTATATAAATATTTAAGTACCTATATAGATAAAATGTATTATTATAAAGTACAATTTAAATACACCCAACTAATATTTTTTTTTTCTGTCACAATCGCAGCATTTTAAATTTTTATTTTTATATAATATATTTCCAGTCTATTCTGCTAAGGACAATACCTAAGTAAATGTAAAAGTAAAACTTTTTATAGAAGACACTACCCATCAGTGATACTATCTACCTATAAATAATAATATTGTTTCAAAACATAAATAATATATAATTGTATAGTTATAAATTAAAATTGTTGTACTTGGCCATTAAATAAACAAATATATATTTATATTATTTGCTATGAATAAGATACTGCTACGATTAATGCTTGAGAGTTGTTTTCAAATAATTAATAAACTGTTATGCAGTCACTACTACGTGTTTATAATAATAATATAAATTAATTTTTAATGACAAATCACGACTTTTTGTTGTCGTCTCTAGATGTAACAAACACTTGACACATCGAATATTGTCTGTGACAAAATAAAAGAATTTTCATTCTTTTAAAAAAAAGTTAGTTATAAACTACTTATAATTAGTATAAGACTTAAATTTTAGTATAATATAACTGGGAATGGACACAGATAGGTGGAGATGTGATTGTTGGACCACGACAAACATAATAATAATAAGCCGAGTGCATATGCGCTCGATCTGGGAGACTACTGAGACTAGACATTTAATTCTGTCATACCGTAGGAGAGAACTGGTATTTATATTAAATGTGTCAAACGCCACGTGCCTGCTGAAGGTTGAAAGTCTACAGGAACGTGACTAGAAGATGGGTTATACGAGAAAAGGATGTGTTAATAGAGTGATACGAGACATGCAGTTCAATAGGTACGTAATTAGTATTCGATGTATCATATATTCATATCGATATGACGATAATATCACTATGACAATATAGAATAAACTATAAAGTAATAGTTTCCTATTACTAAGTCACCGTGGATTTACTATATCATTCAACTAGGTAGGACGTTATTTTTCGGATTCATTTAATCATGTGATTGAAATCATACATTTTTTTTCTACTAATCATAACATTGGAATTGTTCTTAAAATGCACTTAAAATACCGTATATTTATATAAAAATTAATTTATACATCATATAATAAAGTAACCATAAATCAACTCATATTTTGTTACTTAGGTTTAGGTACTCACTGTTTTGTGCACAGACTTTCTCTGAACAAAATTATTAGTAAGTGTAGGTATAAAATATTAAATCATTAGGTATGTAATTAAGGAGTTTTTCAGTGAATATTTATAATAATTACCTAATAATATATCAGGCACGCCCGCAGATAAGTAGCTCACTAGGTACCAAATACCTATTTTTAGTGACAATAAAAGATGTGGGGGGCCATGCCCCCCATTTCCTTACCCTTATTTAATGACATCTTTATGATGAATATTTAAAAATATAAGAATTCATAATTTATATTGATTTGGTACCTAATAATTAGATACTTCCCTACATAATGGTTAATATAAATTGGTTATCAATTGTAGTATAAAATAATTAATTGTTTGGAAAAATATACCATTTAATGAATCAGCTCTAATTTTAGTGATACCTAAGTTAGTTTCATGTTTTATATTATTTATATCCAAGTAAAAATTTGAATTGCAATTTTCAGCATTAACTGTAATTGTTTTACAATGCAATTAAAATATGAATATTTAATTGTATAACAATACAATAAACAATATATAATGTTAGGTTTTTAAGTGTACATTAATAATAATACTATCACAATATTTTATTTTTATACAGTATACACCAATATATTATTATAATAATGAGTTGATCAAACATACCTACCCATACAGTGCCGTAGACAGGAATTTTATATGGGGGGGGGGGGGTTTATTATAATAATAACATGTTATACCTAGTAAATGAAAAAAAAAATAACACATTATTTATATTTTTATATTTTTATTTTAGTGTCTTATAAGTTATAATATCAGATCTATTTTTCTTTTAGATTCTGAGTGAAACGATGAATGTATTGATTTTACAATGATGTGTGTTTTTTTTTTATTTTTTTGTTTTTTTTTGTGTCTGTCATCACGTTTTAGGACAGTAAAAGTGCTTGGAATTTCTTCAACAGTAGCTTTTCTGATAGGAAAGTGAATCTAGTTGGTACTTTGGGGGTCAAAAGTAAAAATAGTAGTTTTCACAAGCGCCGGGAAAAACAACATAAAAATTAAGGGAAAACGGGAATTTTTACGCAAAATCGGATTTCCAAAAAATCGATTTTGGTTTTTAGTGTAACTCTAAAACAAATAAACGTATATACATGAAATTTTCACTGGTTGTTTATATTTACATTTTCTATACACGATAACATTTTCAAAATATTTTGATTTATTTTGAACTGTTTAGGCACATTTTTATTTTCCATTTTTTTTTTAGTTTTTTTTCTAAAAATATCAATAAAATTTTATTTGTTGGTTGCGAAAGCTTGAAAATTTAAGAGAAGGCTCCTAGTATATTGTTTCAAAGGCAGATGAAAAATATTAAAAATCCTTAGTCACAATTTTTTTTATAAGCATTTAAAGTTCAAAAATTGACAAAATATGGAAAAATCACGAAAATTAGCAAATTATTTTGAGTTAAGAATTCGTAAAAATTTTTCTTTTTAAATCTAAGATTTGAAAATGTAATACAAGATTCCTAATAAGATTATCTACATTTATCAAAAAAAAATGTCTATAAGAAAGTCAAATTAAATTTTTATGAGCGTTTGAAATTCAAATTTTTACAACATTGGATATTCACTCGATTTCTCATGTAGCGATTTCCTTATTTTGTTGTAATACAAAAACGAATAACTGTAGATACATGAAAATTTCACTGAATGTTTATATTAGCATTTCCTATACACCATACAATTTTGAAAATATTTTGACTCTTTTTCAGCTGTTTGACTGATATTTCAAAGTCTAACATCTCAGCCAATCTCTATTTAAAAATATAACTATAGTTAAAAAAATGAACATTAAAATTGAATTTAAGGCATTCATTACTTGAGCTTCTTTGAACATTTTTTTAAATTAATGATCTACATTTTCCCTTAAATTGTCAAGAACCTTGATACTGATATTGGCCAAACTGATCATTTGTCTCAAATCTATGTTTTTTTTTTAAGCACGGTTTTAACTTTTAAAGTTTTAACTATAATACTGATAATACCTAATTAATATGTTATCTTAAATTTCAGTATTATCAACATGAACATATAATAAGATTATAAATTATCACAGTAACAAAACGGTTATGGTAATGGTGATTTGTCATTGCGACCATTAGACGATACACAAAATACCTTACTTATAACCGATAACAACACAAACATCTAAAATATTATTAATAACTATTATTGATAAAAATTTTTTTTAAATATATAAGATATATTAGTAGTTTTAAATATTTTAAATAAATTTATAAACTTTCCAAGGGGGGGGGGGGGTTTGACCCCCCGTGTCTACGGCCCTGTACCCATAATAATGTACCACAGTTAAGAGGCCTCGCTACTGCCATCAATTTTAGCTCAAAAGACCTTAAGTTTTGAGAAAATTAAAGTTATAGTTAGTCCGATTTTTATTCTGAAAAACCCGAACTCGCCAGAAAATTGTCTATAGATCGTACGGAACGCTTTGTAAACATTAAATCTTATATTATTGTAAACTGTAATTGATTAAAAATTGCCTAAATGTTGCCCCTCAAATAATAGCCGTAGCGGGGATCCTTAACGAAATTAATATTATATAATATCATTTAGTGACCAAACTCACCAAAATAAATGTATTAATAGACGCGTGGTATTACAGTTCTTACATCACTGTACCCTATGGCCTATACTAAAGTTCGACAGACGACGGTTTCTTAGCATAGGTATATAATATAATATATATATATATATATTGGGAATAATCATGGACAAAAATTATAAATTAACAGGGAAGGAATTTTTGTTTTTTTTTTTATTTGAAAAATTCAAAATAATAAATTTCTCAAGTGGTACATTTGTTCCACCTGGCCCCTCCCTCCAGGAGTGCCTGTAATATATAGTAGGATGTCTCATAGTATTTGTATACTCACGCACAACTGACCAGTAGGTATATAATTTAATATTTTTAACTAAAATTATTTTTACTTTTTTTCATTGATCATTAAGCCCGGCAAATATGGCCATTAGCTGTTCTGGTTTTTTGTTAGTTTGTGGGGTAGGGTACTGTTGGTTTGTAAGCACGTGTGTGTAGTTTTTGGCAGATTTTTTAGTGGGCCCCCGTGGCCCGTGGGTATCTGCTATGCCCGGATGCGGGATGGCGGCACTTCTCTCCGGACACCGTGACTTGCCCGAAGAAAAATGCCACTTGTGAACAGAGGTTTGAACCAGCGCCGGTGTGAGTCACAACCGACGTCTTAGTCTGCTCGGCCACTGCGTCCCCCTAAAATATTATTCTTTTATATTTAGTTAATAATTAATTATTTATGTAACACGCATAAGTTTATCCAATTCAATAATAACAGAATGTTAATCTTTGTCATACAATGGTAATTTATGGGAAAATGGGAAATGTATCCTCTTAATTTAAGATTTGATAGCATTAAATTAAAATCGTAATAATAATAAAACAATGACGATATAAACACCAATGTGTTGTATCTCGTATGGCCATATCATATTATGTGGACAAAATGTATATATAACTTATGATTACGATGTATTTTTAATTGTTAATTAATAAATGTTAATTACCAACCATTCAAAAACTGATAAAAACTAGTTGTGAAAAAAAAATTTTCTAATAGTAAACGAATACTTTTTAAAGTATTCGAATATGTATTCTGAATATATTTTTTAAGAACTATTCGAATATTCTAAATATACTATAGGTACTATTCTGAATATCTTAATTCTCATTTATTCAAATATGTATTCCGAATACAAAATAAAAGTATTCTTTACAAGACTGATTACAAGTAGACCTCTTAATGAAATATTTTCGTTGAATAATTAGCTTTCAGTTAAATAATTTATTTTTAGTTAGTTACCTATCAGTAATCTTCTAGCAGTTAATATTAGCAGAGCCCACGATAATCCCTCATTGGCGGTACAACAAATTATAACGTTTTTGAAAATGTGCAAGGTTTAATACCCGTCCAAAAATTAAATTTTAAGTCCACCAGTTATAACAATATGCTCGGGTGCCTAAAGCGACTATGGTCGTCTATTGTTGCCCTATAGATTGCAATGCCCAGATAGTGTTTTATTTATAAAATACCTTAAAATTCTGCTCATGAAATAATATTGTGACGTCTCCGTCGCATTGGTATTTATTTACTCGAGCCACAAAATGTCCACAAAATTTAAAAATCAACTTAGTGTTTGGTTTTTTCCATATTTTTCACGGTTTTTCCCGTTTTGTTTGTTCTATGTAGAGTATTCGATGTGCCGGGAGAGCAGTCCAGCAACAGTACGGAATCGGGTGAAGAAGAAGAAGAAGAAGAAGAGGGCGAGGAAGAGGGTGAAGGTGTAGACCCCAGCGAAGAGGCGTTCATACAGGCGTTTGGACAGACGGCCGTACAGGGCGTCACTTGGCTGGTGCAAGCTATGGGACTGAACTTGAACCAGTCAACAAACGCTGGAACCACCGCTGCACCGACTGGTCAACAACCACCCACGCCCGCGAACGTTTGATTATAAACTATGACACCAAACTGAAATATTATTATTTTGCTTTTAGGGGTCGTGCCTACGAGACCTCGTCATCCCAACGCCCACAAACCTATATTTATTTGTATTATTATTATTTTTTTTTTTATTATTATTACTATATATTTGGTAGTTTTTGCGCGTCCCACATCATTGCTTTCAATCGTATAATAATGGTAATATATGCTATCTCGGGATTATATTATATTAACATAATAATATTATTTGAGTGTATATATAAATGAGGACGAACAAATATCACATTTCGCAACAACGGTTTCCTATAAGCTTTAATTTTATGTTTTTAGCTGTACTATTAAATTATTTGTTTACGGTATATTTATATATTATATGATGCTAATTTATTACAATATTATGTTTTACTTGAAATGATTATATTTCAGTAAACAGTATTATAAGGTTATAAATAAACGATTAAAATGTAATCAATATGCTTATGCTCTATGTTTTTTTTACTACCTACTCGTTACCACTGACCACACTCAATATATTGCATTAATGAATTATACTAGGTATCCATTGAAGAATGAGTATATTACAAAGCTGAACTGTACATATAATACGATTCTAGGAAATCATAATTTATCGCATCAGAACGAAGCAAGATGAAAGAGGGTTATATATATTTTGAAATTTAATAATAAAAAGAAAAATATTACTGCTGGTTAAAATCAATACCTACGTGACTACTTAATATTATTCCTAATCAGTGGCGTGGTGAACTAAAAATTTTCCAGAGGCCAGTTACAAATATCCCGAGTATTTATGCATAATAATGTATTAATGTAATATAATAAGTTATATTTCAGATCGTTATTGACTACCTATTGAGAATATCATATTCAATTTACTAGGGGACCCACTGGCTACCACCCACCCCTCTATTTAAGAAAAATTTCAGAGGCCAATAAAGCCTCTGAAATTACCGTTCGCCACGCCACTGTAATCCTAATAACACAATCCGCACGACGTAATAAAAGGTCCTGTGAATTTAGATGCAGTAAAAAAATGTCTTTCTATATAACATTTGAACAAGAATGAACATCACGAAAGTCAGATTTTAACATCAGAAATCAGAAGTAAATATTTAGTAGGACTGAAAGAAATTCTGAACTAAATACTAAATAACTAACTATAATTTACAGCAATATTGAATATACAACCCAAATTATGTAATTTTTCTGCATTTATCATCTATAGTACTGCAGTAAAAGAAGACATCCTGTAGTAAAGTGAAACTAAAAGAAATTTAGAAGTAGTGAGAATATATAGTTATAATTTAGAATAGTTTCCATTTTCCACTCCCACTTCCCCGAAATATATCACCACCAGCACTTCCAAAAAATAGTCTTTGTTTCGTTATAAGGATTAACTATATAAGTAATTTACTATTTTGATATAAAAAAAAACAATGGGATACAATTATTGTGCCATGCGTATGTGAATGTGGTATCAATAACCAAGCGTGTGGTGGTGACGAGTTAAAATCCCAAGTATGCAGCAGGTGGTATACAACAGAACGGGTCTAAGATACGTGATGGTATACGTTTCTAGCCGATTGAAAAATGTTTATATTATGTTAATCATAATAAAAAAATGTAAAAGAATAACATTAACGAGCATTCATGTTTATTATTATTTTGGGAAGTAGCAAAAATTATCAATATTTTCAGCCATGACAAAAACGAAATTAATAAAAAAAATTATTATCTATATATTATTGGTAGGTATAATGTTATAGGTATACTTTTCTAAACTGAACTATTTTTTCATTCTATACTGAGATTCATATATTTGTAAAAAAATTCTTATTTGGTTAGATTTTGAATAGTTACCTCTATATTCTATAACACATGCACATACAAGAAACACCCATGTAATTTCTGCTGGGTAAACACGATTTAAAAATGTTGAACATATCACACAAAAGATCCGTTCACATATTCTCCACATACCTACATATACTGATAAACAAACTTCATACTTTTTTTTACTCAATATATATTTTGAATACTTCACGACTGTCGCATATACTACATTATACATACTTATAGATAAACTCTCACAAAACCTAGGCACAAAACTTACTACCCACGACATATTGGAATTCTAGTGGAGTTAGGGAGCATTTAACATTTTATATTCTTAGAAAGTTTGTTTGTTTTTATCTTGATATACTATTACAAAATTTAAATTTGCTAAGTACCTATGTTATGAAGATTTAAGACGTTCTTGCTCGTAATTAGTATATGTTAAAAGTTATAACATTATTATAAATTAACACATTTCCAAAATAAACATAAATTCATACAAATAACGAGCTAAATATTCCCGTAAAAATGTTTACGAATATCCCTGGTAAGGAAGAGCAGACAACATTAATGTTATTAATTGACTTAATATTGTATAAATTGTAACACTTTTGGATGTTATAACTTATAACTTACAATATTAATTATAAAATATCGTAGTTGCTTATAACACCTAGTCACATACATGCACGATCTATAGGTAAAGTTGAACATTTTTGAAATCCAAATGCATCAATCTTATACAAAATTAACTATTTTGTTTATCAACCACAATCCGTTTGTTGTGAATATAAATCTTCGAATGCTGACATCTATATTAATATAATTTATAACTTGTAAGAAAATAAGAAGAAAATAATAAACATAATTATTGTTTAATAAGATACATTATTTTCTTCACAGAGTATCAGAAAAAAAACAAGTTTACTATCGTCTATTTTTTTAGTGACACTCATATTACCAGTTTACCGTTATCTAAAGCTAGTCAGTATACTGACGACTTAACTACCTAGTATACTAGGGGTTATTATAGTATGGTACGAGAAACAGAATTTTAATAACAATGTTATGATATCGACTAGGAACAGAAACAGCTGCCAAATTAGGCAGTATTATTATTTTCTAAATAAGATCTAATAATGTATATAAAATATAAATAAACACATCAGTTCTTTTTCTCCTCATCGATATTGATTCACACAGCTGATATTACATCAGCTGTATTAAGATAATTATTTATTTATATTAAACAATAGGATGTACAATGGGTACTAATAATTAAAATAGTGATTGATCTCGATTATATACTAATAAATGGTAATAACTAATAATGCATCGATTGGCTGTAATATAAAACGAGTATGCGACCTTCACGACGAGAGTCATTAAAACGTAAAATCAACTCAATGATAATGTTATGCATATTATTATTATTCTGAATTCCGTAGTGTATGTTTAACGTCTATACATTAAGGGGCCACAACGCTCCAACATATTATTTTGTTTCATCTGTCTATCTCGCGTGTAATATACCAACAAATGTACTTATTCCGTACAATTCCATAATTACGATCCTCTGGCACCGTTTAGGGCACAGGAATATATTTTACGTTTTACGAAAAAGTATTGTTTTCTGTACATTGGCCGCCAGTTAGTATCTAATAGTTTCATTTTTTTTTTTTTTTTTTTTTTTTATCGAGAAAAGCTAGTTTTAATGCCTACTGAATTACTCTTATTTTTAACCATTAAAATTACTTCTTTTAAGAGGATATCAGCGCACTATTTGTTTTCTCAGTGTGGCCTACCCGAGCAACACGGACAAAACGCATTCACGCAAAATCATTGTTTTTATTTTTTTGAGTAATCTCAGAGTAAAATCACTCATTACAAAAATTATAGAAAACAATTTTTTTTTGAGGGTATAACATCGATTTTTTTGTCATAGGTTATTTAATTCTAAGACTACTTAAAAATCATAAAAATTATTTTATAGTTTTATGTGAACGCATTTTGTCTACGTTTTACGTGGGTCTGAGAGAGAAAACAAATATTGGAATATTTCCACCTTCGTTGCTGTATTACGTGTTAGACAGACAGAGAAAAAAAATGTTGACGTGGTGGCCACTTAAACTTCATAGCGTGAGTGTACATTTAAGTGGGTATCTACGCCTTACAATAACATAACGTTACATTTAAATTGCAATATTATGTTACACAACAAATCGTTTTCACATCATTGTGTTATACAATATAATACCTAGTATATGTAGATTGTTGAGTAGAACTGTAGGCAGGTAGGTACTTATAGCTTTTTAGCAAAGAAAATATTGATACTGCTGTGATATATCCGCGATTTGTGTCAGTCGGACAACGTGATTTCGTGTATTCGACTATCATGGTATTTGCAGAGAATCATAAATGCACTTTACGCATTAACCATACGTAATTAATAAAACATGCAGCATCGTCTTAACCAATCAATTCATTATCGATAATTAATATTCCGCAAACGGTTAGGAGGTACCTATTATACTGGCGATGTAGTGTACCCTATACTTAACTTCTTGACCTCACATACCTACTCTTGAAGTCAAACATGTAAACAATATCTGTCGTGTATCGTGTATCATGTATAGGTATGCATACTATAATATATAATATCCGTACAAAATCAAGTAAATTATCATTAACAATAACGAAAAATACGTATGTACCTCCAAATATTATTTTCTTAAGTTCTGTTCCCTCGCTTTTTATAAAATATTATATAATAATAAATACCTATACGATTTTTCACCATTATTGCATATAATATTGATATAATAAATTTTTTTTTCAAATCTAATTACAATTGAGTACATAATAAGGACTCGATCGTTGAACATTTCTTTGTAATATACTAATAATATATAATGGATAGGTACCTGTATACTTAGATATTAATTATTTTAAAAGTAAATAAAAAATAAAAATATTATTTAGATATTTTATAACAATATTTATTTTTTTTTTAAAAGTAGGTTTGCGGCGAGATATACTGATATACACTATTGATATCGTGTTTGAGCAGTACAGTTTTTTGCTGTACCACTGCAGAATCCGTGTAGGGGGGATGCCGGGAGTTCCTCTCCAACGCTGTTTTTTTTTTCAGTT